GACTGCGTGTGCAACCACCGAGACAATTTCATCAACAAAAAGTGTAATAAAATGAAAGGAGCAATGTGATCGAATCGTGACGATGCTGATTCTACCTGACTCCTTCTGGTCTCCACAACTCAAACGTGTGGACCGATGGGCAGTTCACTCCTAAACTCACCTGCTGCGCTGTCATTGGCTGGAGGAAACACATCAGCTCCGCCTACAAACGTCCCGAGTCAACCAGAACAAATCAGAACAGTAAAATCCAGTGAGAGGACAGAGTCTCTGCAGACACAGTCACCACCACACATGTACAGAGGCCCAGAAGGGACAATGGAGCAGCTTTAGGAGAAGTCTGTATTTTATTTTGAAGGAGAAGTCTGTATTTTATTTTGAAGGAGAAGTCTGTATTTTATTTTGAAGGAACCAGCCGGCTTCACGTTAGGAGAAGACTGTATATTATTTTGAAGGAACCAGCCAGCTTCACTTTAGGAGAAGTCTGTATTTTATTTTGAAGGAGACAGGATGCTGACTCCATCTTTAAGGGTCATAAAGCTGGAGCTCGGGTTCAGACATGCTCAGTCCAGATTGTCCACAGACCGGTCTTTGTTTAGGCGGACTCTGAGCCCGTGGAACAGGAAGTCCTCCTCGTCCTCTTTAATGCTCGCTGATCTATTTGAATAAGTTCTACATGAAGATTTGCATCCGATTTGTGATGCGTCGTCTCATCTTTTATCTCGTCGGTCAGGATGTGACCATATATGGTCTGTGCTCTCACCAGAAATGATGACATCACCTCAGAGGAGACGCTGTAGCTTTCAGTTGTGAAATGTTTCCCTGACGGCGTCTGAATTTACCTCCTCGGTGACACGCGTGTTCTTCTGGTTGTAAACTTGTGTGTGTGTTCAATGACATGTATCCCAGCATGCAGAGCGCCTGGAGGGGAGGGGGTGGGGGGGTTTTAGAGCCTCGCCGCTGCCAAGCTGTTTGTTTGTTGGTCTCCAGGCTGTTGTGGTTGTCATAGCAACCTCTCAGTGTTAGACGCACTGAAGCATTTCACACAAACACACAAACACACAGACACACACACACACACACACACACACACACACACACACACACACACACACACACTCAGATGAATATGCATGAGGCTGCTTTGGGACACAGCAGAGTAAATATCAGTGAAGTGGTAACAATGGCTGCTTCTTTGTAAATCTGCACTTTTTGGCCGGCTCACCGCTATGTCAGCACGTGTGTGTGTGTGTGTGTGTGTGTGTGTGTGTGTGTGTGTGTGTGTGTGTGTGTGTGTGTGTGTGTGTGTTGTGTGTGTGTGTGTGTGTGGGTGTGTGTGTGTGTGTGTTGTGTGTGTGTGTGTGTGTGTGTGTGGTGTTTAGAATTAGAGTTTGTCTAACTGTATGCAGACGGGCTGTGTGAGCATCATTCTTTGTGCTCTCTTTCACACTCACCGTTGAGCACCATGTGCTGAATCAGCAGCCGTGTGCAGAGATAAGTGTAATGAGACGTGCTGAGTCTGCGCTTTGCAGTGGCGGCCTGTTGGAGCGCCCGGTCGGTCGGATACAGCTGCACCTGAGAGACTGTCGCCCTCCATCATGACTGCAGGAGGAGGAACGCTTCCTCCTGTCTGAGTGTCAGGAGGTGTGTGTGTGTGTGTGTGTGTGTGTGTGTGTGTGTGTGTGTGTGTCTCTGTGTGTGTGTGTGTGTGTGTGTGTGTGTGTGCACAGATTGTGGACTCTTCCAGTTTTCACTAAAACTTTTAACCACCATGTTCCAGTTCCCATTTTAACCACCAGGGGGCGGAGCTACAGACTTCCCCTTTAAAGGTCCCATATTCTTCTTCTGGTTTTTTATGCTCTTTGGTGTGTTCTCCAAGTGTCCTGTGCATGAGCTGTAGCATTAGCCGCATGTAACGCTCGGTTCTAGCCCCCCTCGATAAAAATGTGTCAGTGTGATGTCATTGTCAGTGTGAGATCACTGATCTAAGCCCATTGGCTCGTTGTGGCCCAGCAGCTCATGTTGCACGCCCGTTAACTTCTGTAGCACGCCCACGATATGCCGTAGCCTGCGGTAGCGCAGTAGTGCTAAGGTGCTAATGTTTATGCTCCCCTCGGACGGAGCCAGTGGCTGCATTCCAAATATGGTAAAAGAGGCGGGACATTTCCGAGAACCGTGCTGAGCAACTGACCAATAACGACAGAGCGGATCGGCAGACCAATCAGAGCAGACTTGGCCCACATGGGGTCTAACAGTGTGGGCTCAACAGAGTGTAGCTGACGGACTCAGAGCGTAGAGGGAGCAAGGAGGAGCAGTTCATGAAAACAGACACTTTTTAAAACTTTATCTATTGTGAACGTACAAAAGTAGGAACATAGATTAAATATAAGAACCCCAAAAAGGGCAGAATATGAGCTCTTTAAGCTCCCGTTGCTAAGCACAGTCGCTCCTGTCGCCTAGCAACGCTGACAGCTTCACAGGAACAGAACCCCTCCTCTATTTTAACCTTCATTTAAAGTTTCAAGTTGCTGGTCATTCTTCTTGGGATCTTGGGATGTTCGGCCATGGCGGGGCACAGAAGTATCCTGTACTCGGGGACGAGTCGGGGGCGGAGCTTTAGAAGACCTGTGTGAGGTCATCAAATGAACCTGTGGAAGATCACAGCTGATCCCACAGAATCTGAACAGAGCGCTCACATGACCACAGTGAATGAGACGGTTAACCGTTTAGGTTCTGTAGTGAGGAAGAGAAGCAACATGACCCAGAGAGAGGCCGGACTCTGAACGCTGGACGTCACACGAGACGCCAGAGGAAACAAAGATGGAGGACGACAGGAAGGAAGAAGCAGTGATAACTGAAAATCCACATTTCTGTGTTTCTGCTCGCCAGCTGCTCGCTGTCACATCAGCGCAGCGCTCTGCAGAGAACGACACAGCAGCCGGGCGCCTCCTGCACGCCGGGCGCCTCCTGCACGCCGGGCGCCTCCTGCACGCCGGGCGCCTCCTGCACGCCGGGCGCCTCCTGTCAGGGAGGGGCTGCTCCTGCTGCTTGTTATGTAAAATCTGATCACCTGACGGGGCGGGAACAAGAGAGAATACGGCTAACCCCCACAGCGCTCTGTGTAACTGTAGGCCGGTCACTGCGTGGTCAAAGTGTCCATGACGTGCATGTGTAGTGATGTCATAGCCTCTCTGTGGTGGTCACTTTGGTTTCTCTTCGTTCTGCTTCTTTGCTTTTCGTTGTTTCTCAGTGAAGGGTCAGCCAATGAGAGAGAACTACAAGCCGCCAACAGCTGGAACTACAAACCTGTTTATAAATATCAGAGGAAGGGATGTAATATGTGTGTGTGTGTGTGTGTGTGTGTGTGTGTGTGTTGTGTGTGTGTGTGTGTGTGTGTGTGTGTGTGTGTGTGTGTGTGTGTGTGTGTGTGTGTGTGTGTGTGTGTGTGTGTGTGTGTGTGTGTGTGTGTGTGTGTGTGTGTGTGTGTGAGTTTGTGTCCAGGGCCGGTGGTCTACGCTCCCTGAGGGGTCAGTTAGTCAGTGCGTTCTCTCTAACGTCCTCAGATGAAGCCGCTCTCCTCCAGTTACTGCTCGCATCAGATTTAAAACTCTGCTGCTCGATTACAAAACAGACACAGAAACGTCTCCTCCAGGTCTACACTCCCCCCCCCCCCCCCCCCCCCCCCCACTACGCTCTGTTAATGAAAGGTGTCTGATCCAACCTTCACAACAGGGTCCTAAGTCTCTGACTAGACTCTTCTCCTCTGTCGCCCCCCGGTGGTGGAATGAACTTCCAAACTCCATGTGATCTGCAGAGTCCCTCTGCACCTTTAAGAAAAAGCTAAAGACCCAGCTCTTTCATGAATACCTACTAACTTAATGATGATGGTCTCCATATTATTGATGATGATGATGGTAATGACGATGGTTTTTGTTTGATAATGACGACTTATAAGATGGTTTCTATACTGATTAGAGCTCTCAAGAACTGCCCTCAATGTTGTGCTTTGCCTCTGGTCACTTCCTGTCAGCACCAGTGTGTCCAATCAGACTCAAAGCTGATCGTTTGCTCTCACATTGTTCCCTTTTTTCTAGATCCTTGCTTGTGTTGTTCTTACTCTCTGATGTACGTCGCTTTGGAGAAAAGAGTCTGATAAGTAGATTGTAGAGTTGTAGAAAGTAGAATGAATCCACAGCTCTGTGTTTGAGAAAGTCTTAAACTGAAGGGAGAAAGTTCTTCTGTTCCATGAGAAAGAGAGAGAGGCGTCATGCTTCACGTCTTTCCTCCTCTCATCCCTCTGAGATGCTGTGTGGCGTTCAGACGTGCTGTCAGAGAAGTCATCTGAGTGAACGCCATGCTTTAATCCGTCTCACATCAGGAAACCATCGGGCCGGTCTGAGAGAGGAGGACGCTGCCGGAGCTGTTAGCAGATCGTTTTTTTTTCCTGGCATCACAGACTCTTTCCAGCAGCTTTTTTTTTCTTAGCCTGAGAGAGCGAGACGGAGACGCTCTCTCTCTCTCCTCCCCCCCCTCGCTCGCCCCCCTCACTCTCTGTACAGCTCAGACGATGGGTGCTGTTACGCTCTCCAAGCTGCATACTTGACTCTGAGGAGAAATAGTTTGTCCTGCTTTGTAAACTCTAGAGAGACATTATTCTCTCAGTGTCTGTGAGGTTTCATCAGGACCATCGAGAGGCCCGGGTACCCTGAACTACAGAAACCTTCCAGCATGTTGAAAACCACCTTCCTGTGTGGGACGCTGCCAGCAGACTTCTCTCTCTCTCTCCCCCCCACCCCCCACCCCCCCTCTCTCTCTGCCCAGGCGTTCAGATATGGCAGGTTCTCGCTCTCATGAGCTGGCTTGTTTCAGGGAAAGGATTGTACTAATATGGAGCTGGCAGAGAGGCAGGAAATATTTTCCTAACTGAGGTTGATTAATGTAGAGGGAGGGGGGAGGGGGGAGGGAGGCGGAGGGAGGGAGGGGGGAGGTGCAGAGAGGAACAGGAGTGAGCAGAGGAAAAGAAAAGTATATGTGATGCTGTAAGGCTGGCAGAACGGAGAGGTTATTTCATGTCGCTGTTTGAGCTCAAAGTGAAGAACAGACACACGTCAACCTGAAGGATCTACCTGTCGCTGCACTTTTCTATTTTAGTGTCATTGATTGGATTGTTTCAGTTTTACTTCCTGTAGAGATGACTGACATGAAGACTTTAATCACACACATGATGCGAGGTAGAGTCACGGGGAATGATGGCAGTGTGAAAGAGAGTTGCAGGTTAAACAAAGACTGGATATGGCTCTACTCTTGTCTCAACGTCCGTGCACACTCACTGTCTGTACGTGCACACTCACTGTCTGTACGTGCACACTCCCTGTCTGTACGTGCACACTCACTCACTCTGTCTGTACGTGCACGCTCCCTGTCTGTACATGCACACTCACTGTCTGTACGTGCACACTCACTGTCTGTACGTGCACACTCCCTGTCTGTACATGCACACTCACTCACTCTGTCTGTACGTGCACGCTCCCTGTCTGTACGTGCACACTCACTCACTCTGTCTGTACGTGCACGCTCACTGTCTGTACGTGCACGCTCACTGTCTGTACGTGCACACCAACTCACTCTGTCTGTACGTGCACGCTCCCTGTCTGTATGTGCACACTCAATGTCTGTACGTGCACACTCACTCACTCTGTCTGTACGTGCATGCTCACGCTGTCTGTACGTGCACACTCACTCACTCTGTCTGTACGTGCACACTCACTGTCTGTACGTGCACACTCACTCACTCTGTCTGTACGTGCACACTCACTGTCTGTACGTGCACACTCACTCACTCTGTCTATACGTGCACACTCACTGTCTGTACGTGCACGCTCACTGTCTGTACGTGCACACTCACTCACTCTGTCTGTACGTGCACACTCACTGTCTGTACGTGCACACTTATGCTGTCTGTACGTGCACACTCACTCACTCTGTCTGTACGTGCACGCTCACTGTCTGTACGTGCACGCTCACACTGTCTGTACGTGCACACTCACTCACTCTGTCTGTACGTGCACGCTCACGCTGTCTGTACGTGCACACTCACTGTCTGTACGTGCACGCTCACTGTCTGTACGTGCACACTTACTCACACTGTCTGTACATGCACACTCACTCGCGCTGTCTGTACGTGCACACTCACTCACTCTGTCTGTACGTGCACACTCACTGTCTGTACGTGCACGCTCACTGTCTGTACGTGCACACTCACTCACTCTGTCTGTACGTGCACACTCACTGTCTGTACGTGCACACTCACTCACTCTGTCTGTACGTGCACGCTCATGCTGTCTGTACGTGCACACTCACTCACTCTGTCTGTACGTACACACTCACTGTCTGTACGTGCACACTCACTCACTCTGTCTGTACGTGCACGCTCATGCTGTCTGTACGTGCACACTCACTCACGCTGTCTGTACGTGCACGCTCATGCTGTCTGTACGTGCACACTCACTCACGCTGTGTGTACAAAGGGTTTAGCGTTTTCATCACCTCGTCGTAACCTGACAGTTTCCTTATTGTTTCCTGAATCTTGAGGAACAAATGAAAAACAACAATCAGCTGCTTCGATGTGAAAATCTTTTCTGTGATTTTAAATAGTTTTTTCAGAATAAACATGTTGAAGGTCTCACAGCACGCTGTGCCTCAGGGTCACATAAATGGAGTTTAGGCTTCTTCTCTTTTTAGTCTGAGGCTGTTTTAAGGTCTGTCTTTATGTCGCTCTCGCTGAATTCAGCCGTTACCATGGGAAAAATATCACCTTAATGACGCTGACTGGCAACGCTCCCTGAAACTGATGCAGAGCAGACCCCGCTCCTGACCCCCGTTGATTTTACAACAGAGAGAGAGAGAGAGAGAGAGAGAGAGAGAGAGAGAGAGAGAGCTACAATCAGCTGTTTCCACGACTAACTGGAACTACAAACTGTGTTCCGTATATAAGAGGAAGGGTTAGTTTTACTTTTAGAGACACAAGTCCTCATGTTAGGTTTGTAGGAGGACAGGAAGTGAATGCTTTTATTGTGAAAGGCTCAGATAGAGTATTCTTGAAGAATAAACAGAATGACAGAGGGTTTCCCTGTGATATCGTGCAGACAAACTCTGACCCTGTCATCTTCACATGGTCAGGTTGGGGTCAGAGGCCAAAGGGCCCGTGGTCACAATGTGTCTAACTTTGGTGTTGTACTTCTTTATGTTGGACCTAAATACAAATGAAACAGACAATTACTCCAGGTGGGAACCCGTTGGTGCAGAGGTGGAGCTCTGTCATTCTGATGAATGTCTGGTTTCGTCATAGAGAGGAATCAAACAGCTGCTTGTTGTGTCTTTAACCTGAAGATCCATCTCTGTGGGGATCACTTCCTGTCTCACTGTCAGACACCTTAAGGTTCTTTATGATCTCGCAGCACCTGGAGGGGCCGCAGAGTGTTGACCATAACACAGCCTGCAGCGGTCATGTGACCGAGCAGTCGGCTGTCAGCCAGGACTTTGTGCTGCAGCCAAACTCCTCGCTGACCCAGAGAGTTAGAGGAGCTGCAGGTCAGGAGGAGGTCTGTCAGGAGGAGGTCTGTCAGGAGGAGGTCTGTCAGGAGGAGGTCTGTCAGGAGGAGGTCTGTCGCTGCGTCAGGAGGAGGTCTGTCGCTGCGTCAGGAGGAGGTCTGTCGCTGCGTCAGGAGGAGGTCTGTCGCTGCGTCAGGAGGAGGTCTGTCGCTGCGTCTCCTTCCTTCCAGCACACTGAACCAGCTGACATTCCTTCAGAGGGCTTTATTCTGAAAGGGTCCTGACATCTCAGACTCTCTGCTCCTTTTAAAGCTGCACTGAGACGGGGAGGGGGGAAGGAGGGGGGTGTGTTAGTGTGCCATGTTTTATGGAATGAAGCGGTACACCTTTAATCATGAACACCTTTCTGTCTGCTCACTTCAGTCTGTCACTTATTTATGAAACTTCCTGCTGAGCGATTCAACCCGCAGCAGGGCGGAGCTTTTGGGCTCTAACCCGCCTCTTTGGCTGCACCGGACTGATTCTGATACCGCGTCCTCACCTCATCGTCATGGCGATGTAATCACAGTCAGTAATGATCGACTCACATAGAGCTGGTGGAACTGTTGGTGGTTTTGGTGCCTTGCTCAGGGGCATGTCGACCGTGCTCGGGAAGTGAACTAACACCTCTCCAGCTACCAGACAAACTTCTAGACTTGGTCTGGTAGCTGGACCCTCCAGTTTCCAACCCAAAGTCGCTGCAGACCGAGCTACTGCCGCCCAACTTGTGGAAAATCTAGATTTAATCAATAAAACGTTTTTATTTATTTATTTTTTGTCTTGTGTTTATTTGTTCTCGCTTTAGTTGTCATGTCTAATATATTCTTGTTTCATTTTGTTCACCTTATCACCAATAAAAAAGAGAAGATCTAGATTTAGATTTTCTCTTTGACTCACTCCGCCGCTCCCTCTGGGCTCCCGTAGTCCAGATCTACGGGAGGTCCTCCCCCCTCCATTGACCCACATGGATTCTGAAGTGTCTCTACCAGACCTCTTGGCAGACTTAGTCTGCACCAACAACCCTTCAGTCCCTACACACTGTTGCTGAGTTTATGTCTGCAGCCCCAGTCCTTTTCTAGTCCTCTGACTACTCAAAGCACCGCAGGTCACACCTACACACTCACACACTGATGGTAGAGATCACTATGTAGTATCATCCATCAGAAGTAACTAATCCATTCATACACCACCACCGAAGCAGAGGGTTAAGTGTCTTACCCAAGGACATATTGCCCAGCTGGGGATCGACGACTCTCCCAACTGAGCCACAGCCACCCGTCTATAACTAATTCACTAGATAATATCTCACAGCGCGTTGAGTCTTCTTCAGGTCGTTGTTAGTGTTTGTGTTCACGGTGAGAAGGTGAAGTGAACCTGATGGTGTTGATCACATGAAACAGTTTGTTACATGAGCTGCTGACGCCGCAGTCCGGCTGCAGCGGGGTCTTTAAAGACCATCAGGTGAAATATCTGTCGGAGCTCCACTTCAATCATGACTCAGAGGAATGTTTATTGTTTATTGTTTATTTGGATCCCATTAGCCACTACCTAAGCAGCGATTAGTCTTCATGGGGTCCACTCATACAAACATTAAATTATAAAAAAAACAAACAGAAAAAGACAACAACACAGTAATCAAGAACACCAAGAGGAACCTGCTGCATGTCAAAAAGGTCATCTCTCAAGTTCATGAGAGTGTCAGTGACACTAGATGTTTCTAGAGGAGGGCGTGTGTTTCTGTCACCTCTGACCTTTCAGATGAAACGGCGTCTAATCCGCCCGCTTCCCTCCACTTCCTCTGCAGTACCCGCTGACTCTTCTCCAGCTATTTCATTGGCTGAAGCTCCTCCCACATCTGAGTCCAGCTCTGCGTTCAGTGACAGTAAACCTGACCTCTGTTTTTAAGAGTGATGTCATCGGGGGAGTTCCCCGACAGCTCGTCTGTGACTCTTTCAGTGTCTTTTGTCCCGTGGCAGAGGAACGCCGGCCGGCGAGGGACAGAGCGCCCTTTCATAAAGCGCTGCAGGTCCTCCCCTGCCTCTCTGGAGGGAACACGGCACCGGGTGTTCCAGGCTGGGCGCAATTAACCCGGGAAGTCATAAAGAGGCGTTGGTTTAGAGCTCGCTCCTCGTGCCAGCTCCTGTTGGGCAGCCGATCCCTCGCTCCAGATGTTTTCTGTTAACGCCAACGCCAGACGACCCGAGGCGTGCTACACCTCCAGATCAGAGCGCACAGAGCTGCAGTGTGCAGAAA